TTATACTCTTTCTTTCAAAACTGAGCAAGCAGCTCTTAGGCAAGAAAGAAGTAAACCTGTGAGCCAGACTATTAAAAACAGATGTGTGTTTTTAATGTAAATATTAGTTTGGTCCACTAGAAAGCTGGTGGGCTTTCTGCTGTCCCAGTTGTCTCCATGGCTTGCTTGTTTTATCTGAATGGAAAAGGAGAAAAAAGTGTTGATTTGGAGATGGTCTTTGGATGAGCAAATATTGGTTACGGTTTGGAAAACAGGCAGTATACTCCAATAGGCTCCAGGCCCTAGAAAAATTCATCTTTTCTCATCACAATACATACGTTCTGAAAAACAATGTACGACTTGGTAGTCTCACTGCACCCATTTCCAATGCCTCGTGGGCTGGGTTTGACCTGCAGCCGCATCGCCCTCCCATCGCTGAGCTGTGCCTGTGATGTGTGCCTGTCAGCAGGAGAAGGAGACTGTCCGTGGGGTGACACGGAGTGTGCAGGGATGTGTCAGTACTGCTGCCTGTGTAGAGTCAGTCCTGGCCCCGGTACTGCTAGTGCACACCTCCGGGTCACCTGGGCCCCCAGCCTCCTTAAAAGCTAGAGGCATTGTGGCAGAAGTCAGCCCATGGTGAGCTTAGTACCTTGAGATGATTGTGTAAAGGTAGTGTAAGGTAGTAAAGGTCATACAAGTCCTCTGTGACCTCCAGTAACTTTTACATTAAAGGAAAAGTAGAGTTTAACTCATTCTTGTTACAGTTATGTTTTTAGCCTGTGACTGAGCAGAAGTTTATGTCTCAGCAGAGCCAAGAAAATAAAAGTATGTAATGTGCAAGTCATGCAAACTCAGCTCTGCTTTTTATTAAATTGCCCTCCTAGTTATGCAGTAGAGGAAAGGAATGTGCTGGGCTGAGGGCATTTGGCTGTATGGATTTATAAATCAAATCCACAAGGGCAAACTAATGAACTACTTAACTGCTAGGAACTAACACTGTTCTTATTAGCTCCTACATTGATTAGCTTTCATCTATGCCGTAGGAATAAATGGAAAATGTACATGTGTGTATTATGAAATAAATAATGGAACAAATTCTGGCTTAGTGACCTCTAAATCTAGAAAAGCAGCACTGCTGCCTGTCTCATGAGCTCTCCAAGGAGCTCCCTTCGTATATTCTTAGCTCAGATATGTCACATTCCACCCCATCAGTGCCAGAAATGTGGATGATTTTTCTTCTTGCTATCCTAACTCCAAGTTAAAAACGTGTATGGCATTTAGTTATACACGAACACAAAGACAGAAAAGGATGACAGCAGTCTTTTATTTCATTTTTGGGATTTGTTACTTTTTATGTATTCTTTCCTCATTATGGCACATTGTGCTCTGCAATCAAGTGTGCCCTGCTAGCAGAACATGGCATGCTGCACTCTGCTGTCAGTGGCCCTGCTAACACCTCCATAGGGTCAGGATGCAGCTTTGAGACTGTTTCTGTCATGTTCTTATCTGTGCAAGTATTCAGAGCTAACAGTGAACGTTTATATCTCACGCAGGACAGTCCAAAGTAAATCCTGGACTGGAAGGGAATTTTTCATCCCTTGTTTTGGTAACCTGCTCAAGCTCCACCTTCTCTAATATCAAGTAGAAGCTTCTTTGGTTTACTTTCAGGATGTTTCGCAATTTACTCCTTATAATTTATCATGTAATAACAGAAGCTCTGTTTAGCATAGGAACAATTTTAGGTTATTTTAAAATGTATTTCCTTAAAGTTAAATAAAATTATTTTAGGGTCTTTACTGCGTGATAAAATTTAAGCCCTTTTAGAGTGTTAGGTTTAAGGATTTTTACAAGCAAAAGCCATTAACTCATTAATACTGTAACCATTTCAAAATCACCATTTCTTTAACTGTAAATATAAATACCCAAATCAGCTTTCTGTAAAATCTCAATAATACAATATTGATTTACTTGCAACCCCAAATGTATGTGGTGTTGTATTGATATGTGTTCATCTTTCTGCTCACCCACAAACCTCACTACTTCTCTGGAAGGGTTCAGTTAAAAAATGTGATGTCATTAAATGGTTTAAATATGGCCAGGTGTATTTACCTGCATGCATTTATGTCTTCACATGTTTGTCTTTGTTGTATTTTTCCCAGAGAGCTGAATGTTGATAGTCATTCTTCTGGGCAGAACAGGAGGAAAATAAGTTTTGAACTCTGTTAAAATTGAGGATGGTAGAACACTTTACACCTAAATATTCCCATAAGCCTCAAACTAAATCTTTCTTATGCATGTTTTTTATTTCTGCTGTTGCATCTGCACTTTGATTCTTCTTACCAGCCATAGAAATGTCATGTTATAGTTCCCTAGGGGTTGCTGTTGCAGAATTTCCAGCACTGAGAGAAGGAAAAATTGCTGAAAGCCATATTTATACAAGCCCACTCTCTGGAGATCCCAAACATGTTTTTTCAGAGCTGATGTTTGCATGTTCAGGAGAATATAAGCATCACTGAGACTTGCCTAGCACTTGATTTAAGTACTTAAGCCCCCTCTGATCCCTGGAAATCCCATGCCGTTGTGTAAAGTTGCACCCGCAGCGTGTGCGTTTGTGCCAACGTGGGGTGAATACTGCATCAGGAGAAAATGTAGTAATATTGTAATCCAGGTCTCTATTAATAGACTGTGTTTTGCCTTTGCAGAGCCAGCAGATATCAGTGTTGTGTCCAAGTGTAACCCCTGCCTCTCCAATCCATGTAAGAACAATGGGACATGCAACAATGATCCAGTGGAGTTTTATCAGTGCACTTGCCCTTTTGGCTTCAAGGTATGAATACAAATTAACAACATGAAAAGCAATAAAATGTTCCCCAGCCCTTCTGTTTTCTTAATTGTTATACCATGAGAAGTCAACTTTACAGGCAATGAGCCTAAAAGGTCCCTTATTTAGCAGGTTGTGTGTGAGCTTTCAACTGCACCCACTACAAATTTTATCCTGTGCAATCAGAAAGGCATTTTGTTCTGTCTGTGCTGTGACTGTACAGATCCTCCTGAGCAATGTGCTCTAGCTGGCTCTGCTGTGAGCAGGGTGGTTGAACAAGGCCATCTCCAGGGGTCACTTCCCACCTTGGGCATTCTCTGATTCTGTGATGTAGGCAGACGTATGATGTGACAAGATGATTTGATCTTCCTTTTAATTTATTTTCTTTTGCCAACAAGAAGATAACCATTTCATAGGCTGCCAGGCCAAAGAAGAGGCAATTGAGATGAGAATTAAAGGCCAGTTCAGTCCATAGTGACAGAATGCTGACAGCTGCTGGTTTACATCCATCTTACACAGACTGATTATCGGAAAGGTGGTAACCTATCAGACACAACCACCAGCTCAGCTGTCTCTGACTTGGGAGCACTAAGGTCCGCAGGGTGATCTGCAAACGAGAGATCCTGTAGAGGCCAAGCATCATGAGCCTGCACCATCAGTGTCTTGATAGCACATTTGAAAATCAGAAAATCCTGTCATTGAGGAATGCACTTTCCTTGGTAGTGATATGTAACTCCCTGTGCTAACATTGCATCATGAGAGCTTAAACATACCAAGACTTTGTTTCAGACTTGAAATAACTGGAAACCTAGCTCAGTAGTCAGTAGCTGAAGGATTAAATATAACTACTAAATGAGGCATATGATCTGTTCACAGCCTGGGGGGATTGGATGTTATGGCCAAAGTAGTAGGTTGCATCCTGTTGGCTGTGATTTTATTTGCCTTATTGGATATTTCTTACAGAGTCTTGGTCAGTTGAAGCAGATGCTCATAAAACACAGGGTAATGAGAACTGTAGGGGGAAAAAAAGGGCAAAACCAGACATACATGTGGGAAGTAAGCACAAGTATCCAGGACTTACATTTCAGGTAGGATTTAGAAACTGGCTCTGATGATATCACCATTTCCCTTCTCTGTTTGTCTAGGATACATCCCAGATGGTAACAGAGTAATTGTGGTAGATCCCTGAAACTTTGGAAAAGGGGAAGATTAAAGCTCATTTCTTCTCTTTCACCCCAGTGCTTCCACGCATAGTACTCAAGAATAAAAACAATTCTCCTTAATAAAAGAAAAGTCATTGGAAATTTCCACTTGTTAAAAATCCTTCTACTTATTGGCATATCAACCAGCATATGTTCTAAGATCTTAAAAGACCACATTGTCAAAACTTCATTTAACTGAAACTAGTTGGTAACAATTGATTTGTCTTTGCAATGAGGGAAACTGTGGCCATCTCCTGGGTTAGTAAAAGAAGGGTAATTTTCATTTTATGTTTAATATAAACCAAGTTGAATTCTTCAGATGGGACTAGGTGACTGTTAGGATAACTTGAAAAGTAAATGCTTTCAAAACCAGAAGGAAAATACATAAATCTTTGTGTATGTCTTACTATATAAGGCACATATCATGGAACAGGTATCCAGGTTATTCAAAGTAGAAATGCCTTGGTTAAGAGTGTATCTTTTTTTTTGCCCTTAGTGGGGTTTTTTTGGGTTGCTTGGGCTTTTTTTTACAGTATTTCTATGTTAGCAAATGCACTAGTTATAGATGCACTTATACTGCTAGAAGACATGTTTACAAATGGAGGATTTATTAACCAGAATAATCAAGAATAATCTAGATATATTAGCAATCACTTTCTAGTGTGCATTAGACATCAGTATGCATCACTTTACTTGGAAAGGTTTTGATAAACTCTCAAAGTGACTCTGTTTAAACATCTCAGAGAGCATGCAACTTTTCTCCTCTCTCACACACTTTCTCAGGTAACATTCAGTGTGTTGAATGCAAAACGTACACCCACTTGTGAGCTTGTAAGCACCAAGCTGTCATCCAAGCATGGCAAAAAGCAAACAGACGCAGGCATGGCATTTAGGGCTGAGTTTTAAAATACTGACTGGATAACAGTACAGGGAGAATTGGTGGAAATTTAATAAGCAAAAAAGAACTGTGTGTCTTTACCACAGGTTTTTGAATAAAAATGAAATATGACAGGTCCAAATGCAAACCATATGAAAGGAGCACTCTATCTACCACGCAGTTCTCCACCAGAGATTCATGCTAATTCAATAACAATACCTTGCTTCCTTCTCACCAGCCAGCACCAAACAGCTCTATCCATCTGGAAGCTATTTCCCAGACCTTGATAAATTGCCCTAAATCTGCCCTCTCAGCATTTGTTTTTCCTTGTTTGATGTAGATTTTGAAAAAATCCCGTGTGGAAGAGTGCATCAATAAAGTGAAAAACCCACCCTTTTTTCAAATGTAAGCTCATTCAAATGAGCTGACGGCTTTATAATGTTCCCTGGAAAGAGGCAGAGTTGCAGGCTGCTTTCTGGGGTTCCTGTGCTCATGCTGGCCTTCAGAAGTAAAAAACAAACTACATCAACTAGCAGAAAGCCACCTAAGTTACCAGTTGCCAAACTGGTGCCTGGTGGAAGAACTTACACCAGTTAACTGTGGTCGCAAAAGCCATTAGTCTTATTTTTCATTATCCCAGTGATGATGGATCAATCTCTTACTTTTCACGATCACAAAGCTGGTTTTGCTATTGAATCTATACCTCGTGGGGCTTTTAGCAATGTGGAATGCTGCCTGTGATGGGTTTGAGTAAACTTAACAGTGAGATAACTCATGGACCACCTGATCTGAGAGGCCAATGGGCCAAGCAGTTGTGTTTGATGAGGACAGGAATACAGCTTGCTCACTGGCGGTGATAGCTATCCTTGCTGCTGCTCTCTCCTTTAAAATGGGTGATAAATGTGTCAGCCACGGTTGAAACAGTGCTTCTGTGGTTGTTCTTTGGGGACAAAGCCCCAAAGACAGCGGGAAGCAGTGTGAGAGTGACACCTATGGTGACTGGCAGGCTGAGCTCGGTGCCACCAAGGCTGCCAGCAAATGTCTCTTCATGTTATGGAGCTTGTATTTTCATACTAAACACAGACATAGGTATAATTATCCAGTAGAGTTTTTTTTTTCTTTTCTTCATAGCATTCTTTGAAAGATTATTTAAATAATGTGTGGTTTCAGTTGTGAAGTATGATTACAAGCAGAGAAATGAAGCTTTCTTCTGCTTTAAATGCTGGTGGCCACCTGGAGTGCAAGTGTGTGCGAGTGCAGCTGGTGGCTGGTGAATAGGTAACAGCACCAGGCTAATTCATTTATCCTGCAGAGTGTGGGGCTTCTGGGTATGCCCACTGATGCCGTAACATTGAGTCTGTGAGTGTTAGAATTCAAGAGAATGATCAAACTTGCAATCAGTAAGCCATTGAGAAAGTATTTACCTGAATAGCTGTAGTAAAACTAAGGTGAGTGAATCCAACACTCAGTGTATTTTGCTGTTGCTGTATTCTGAAAATGTCCTTTTGGATTTTTTTTTTGCTGATTTTTCTGGTTTTCGTACATTTTTTTTTTCTTACAACTGAGGTAACAACAAATGGAGGAGAATAATTTTCTTTCTTCCAAATAGAGTTATTTGTAGAACTGGAGAAAGAGAGTTTCAAATACATCTGTGTTTTATCTGAAATGCAAGAACGTTTCCAGCGTGGACCATGAAGTGCAATACCTGCCTAGGCATCGCCACTGCCTCTGTGATGGCTCAGATAAACGGGAGCCTCAGCTGTGGGGATGCAGGATGTTTGTCAGCTCCACATTCTGCTCTTACCAAAGGCTGTCTGAAATGGGAAGTGAAGATAGGTAAAATTAGTACAGCACGTATCCCACCCTTCAGGCAACAGATGCTGATGCGTGTCTGTGGAGGAGTCGCTCTGTAGATTTCATCCAACACTATTCCCCACTGTCGTGAATTCAGCCAGTGTCCTGACTTTTCTAGCAGCACTGCAGTATCTTGAGGGTTCAAGCAATTTCACCAGTCATCTGGAATGACAGATACAATTGGAAAAATTCTGGGTAAAGCTCTTGGGCTTTGGAGAGGCAGTATTCTTTGCAGCCAGACGTTTGTGGTAGGAGGCATTATAGTGAAAAGCCAGAATGATATGTAGTGAGGAAGCTGGCTCCAAAGTTCTGCTAGGATTTTGGCTCTTTCTCATCCCTACCCCCTGTGCCAGGTTTTCATCCCTGGAAAGAGGGTTAGAAATTGAGAATCTCAGAGCAGAGTGTCTCTGGGATATGCAGGATTTGTGTCTATCACATGCTGTACACAGACATGAGTAATGTGCCAGCACTTCAGTGGGTAGATGTAGCTGGGCACTAGTAGTGGCTGCTCAGCACAGGGCTAATAAGCAGGTTACACAGACCTTGCACCATTAGCGTGGACTCAGCACTGCCCTGGCTGGATCATTTGCTCACGAGGGTGCACATAGCCTTGAATTTGCTTGGAGCACAGGCAGCTGAAGTTGCTGTATTCGCACTTTGCCACATAGATGTATTCCTGTGGTGTTACATGAATAATCTGCCAGAGCCCTAGAGTAATGGCTGTTTGAGGAGTATGCAGCACAGAACTCATCTTAAAATGTAGATATGGCCATGTTTGCTCATGTACAGATCTTCTGGCCAGCTCTTAGAGCACAAGGCCGAGAATGGTGCAAGTTTATTCCAACGGGCCAGCTCCTCAGCTTTGCTGCTTTAGGTGGGGTTAGATGAACGCAAGCGAGTGTTGGGTTTGGCTGCTGATGTACTCCGGCTGTGTGAGAGTCCCTGCCTAGTTTGTCAAGCTAATTCTGTTTGGAAATGTAACTCCCTGCTTTTGTTTCATTGGATCTATTAACATAGGCATCTAAGTCTCCATGCACATCATTCAGTGCGCAGATAAATCTCTGAGTTGGAAT